CCAATCTCACATAACCATCCTGCAATCCAATCATCAAAACAAGATCGAGAACAAGATTATGTTGCCACAGAAGATATCATCAGCAAATCAGAGGAAAACCTCGAAACGACCAACGGAGAGGATGAAGACGACGTATTCCCAGATGACGAGAGCCTCATAGAGCTGTCTTTACCAAGTGGCCAGTACGTAGGTCACCAGTATACTAGTAACAAGAAAAATATATATATCCACAGCAAAGTCCAAGATTTCAGACTCTTTGATCTATTCACAAAGTTCAACGATTTCATGGAAGAAGATAATCTCATTGAAATCGACATAACCATCGGATCCATCAAGTATTCAAGGTTTGAGATCAAAGCTTGATGTGTTCACTTTCAATGATTTCTATACCTTTTTCTTTTTTTCCCCATGTGGGGGTTTCGTATAATTATTATCTCAGTAAACTCGGAGTGTAAATTAATTTTAGTACCTTTTTGCACTTCAATGTGCTCTCTGTTTTGTGTTATCATGTTGTTAATTTAACTAAATGCGTGGATTTGTTATCATAAAGTGTTTTACTAATTTTTTTTGTGGAGTCTTTTAGAAGACATTGTATTGTATGTAGCTCTTAGAAATATTATTACGTCATTTGATTTTTACTAAATGCGTCGATTTTTTTATTTACTAAATGCGTCGATTTTTATTGTCACATCAGTTGATTTTTACTGTCGAAGTTAATTTCTATTTCTACTATAAAATTCGTAAACACATTATGATTTCTTTAATATGTGTAATATATATTTTTGGTAAAAACATAAATCTATATTATTATTACTCATAAAATCTTGTTTAGTCTTGTATTTATTAATTTTCATTTTCATTTATTTACTTGGTTTTCACGTTTTTAATCTATTTTTTTATTAGTTAAAAAAATAACAATAAAGATGATTTAGTATGTATTAAATGAATTAAAAGACTGAAACAATTTAAGAAGGAGTTCTTATATGGACACTCTAAATGGAGAAAGAGCTCTCTAATCTTATATAATACTAGATTTATATCTCGTGCGGTGCGTGAGATTTTAATTTTAAATTGCTAACAATATAAATTATTGAATATAGATATAATAATTTTGTTTTTAAAAATAAATTAATGTATATATATATATATATATTATTAAGAGACCTATAACATAAATATTGTGGAGAATAATATTTTTATTTGCAAAGCAACAAATTGCTAAATGCCACTTGGTAACAAAAGTAAGTTATGAACCTCACGGAAAGAAAAAAAGGCATCGGTGACCATCTCACGATCTTTTATCTCGGAAAAAGTTATTTTTATAATAAAGTTTCATATGTACATCTCCTAAGAAGATATAATATTGACAATTGAGTCAATCGTAAAAATTATTAAATTCAGATGCATACATAGTTAATGTAATCCTACATTTAATGCGAATGTGCCAAATATGAATTATCATTTACTTCAAACGTATTAACAAAATACTCATGATGTTACAATGTGTTTAGTAGTGATGTTTTTATCCATCAAAGCAAGTGGAGCGTGCGATAAGATACTTTTGATCTAATCATGAATATCCTTATCTCATTTCACATACCACACATACATGGTGAAACAAACTAACTCGACTTTAAACTTGATAATCCAGTCCAGTAATCCATGTCATGTATTTTATGGAAACTAATTTATTTCAGACAGTGAATACGATCTAAAATTTTTGTTAGTCGTGTGCATATATCTTTCTGAAATTTAGTCAAATTCTTTTTAAACATTTTTTTCACTAACATCTTTCAGATACAATTTCATGTCTCCCTACATCTAATTTTGCTTCACTCCCTATATTAGTATTACGGAAAAA